TGGGAGGGCCAACTGGTTATAGATCAGACGAAACTTCGACGCCTTGCCACTGACTTCTTCAGGACCATTTATACGGCGAATCCATATCACGTGGTGCCCACCACCAATCCGGTCAACCTATTTCCGCTATGTGATAACAATGTCCTTCGCGAGATGTCTGAAGACATTGCTGATGAGGAAATCTCCACGGCCCTTCACCAGATGGGTCCATTGAAAGCCCCGGGCTTGGACGGGCTACATGCTATATTCTTCCATAAACATTGGGGGATTGTGGGGCTTGCAGTGCGCGAGTTTATTCAGACCATGTGGCAGACCAGTGTTGTCCCCGAGCAGATTAATCGCACCTTACTGGTGCTCATTCCTAAAGTTGAGAACGCTTCCACAATCAAGCAATTCTGGCCCATTAGCCTGTTGAACGTTATTTACAAGCTCTTCACTAAAGTGCTGGTCAACCGAATGAAAAGCACTCTTCCGGTCTTAATTCAGCCGGCCCAAGCCAGTTTTGTCCCAGGAAGGCAAATCACAGACAACATCATTATTGCCCAAGAGCTCATTCACTCCATGCGTGTCAAACGGGGAGTGAATGGGTACATGGTGATTAAGGTGGACTTGGAAAAGGCTTATGATTATCTTCGCTGGGACTTCATCGAGGAAACCTTGTGCCTCGTTGGCTACCCTGACAAGTTCGTGACAGCGGTCATGGCATGTGTTCGCTCGGCTTCGATGACTGTGCTGTGGAATGGGACACTTGGAGAAGAGTTTCAACCCACGCGAGGCGTACGCCAAGTGGACCCCATGTCACCCTATCTTTTTGTCCTCTGCATGGAGAGATTGGCCCAACTGATCAACGAGGCTGTGGATAACCTACAATGGCGTCCAATATCCGTGGGGCGGAGTGCAGTTAGCGTTCCTTTCTTGATGTTTGCTGACGACCTCCTTCTGTTCTTGGAGGCCTCGGACGACCAGGCGTCCGTGCTGCTGAATGTGATTGACGCTTTTTGCTCTCGGTTGGGCCTTAAGGTCAGTGCCGAAAGGACTCAAGTCTTTTTTTCCAGCAACGTGGCACACTTTGAGCAAATTCGGCTTGCTTCGGTCCTTAATTTCAAATTAACGGATTCCTTGGGAAAGTATCTAGGCGTACCAATTATTCACGGGTGTGTTACTAAAGAGACATACTCCCACATCTTGGAGCGGACGGAGACGCGATTAGCGGGCTGGAGGATGAAGTCACTGTCTCTAGCTGGGCGTGTGACCCTCACGCAATCAGTTCTAAGTACGCTTCCCTACTACACCATGCAAACTTCTTTGCTTCCGAGTCTAGTCACTGATGGGCTTGAACGTCGAAGCCGTGCGTTCGTTGGGGAGGGACTAGTGACAGGAAGAAAGTGCATTTAATTGCATGGAATAATTTATGCAAACCGAAAGAGGATGGGGGCCTGGGTGTAAAAGAGCTCCGACGGATGAAACCGGGATGGGGCTCATTGTCCAAACCTGATGCTCTATGGGTCCGCGTGTTGACTGCAAAATACGCGTTGAGTTTCACGGAGAACCTAGAATACTTTCTTGAACGTCGGGGCTCGGTCCTGTTACGTGCCATTCGCACGATATGGCCCATGGTCGTGAACGGGATTCGATGGATTTTGGGCAAGGGTACGCGGATTAAATTCTGTCTCGATCCGTGGCTCGGTACGAAAGGGCCTTTGATAATACATGTCCAAAACCAGATCCATATTGAGAATATTTTCACAACGGTAGCCGAGCACGTGGATGATCGCGGCAACTGGGCCTGGCATAACTTTCATGGAATATTACCCGCCGCGGTGGTCCTTCGAATTGCACCCTCTCTCCCTCCAAGACCGACAGCGGGGGATGATCGCCTTGTTTAGGGCCTTTCGGACGATGGCAGATTCACTACAAAATCGGCTTACCAGGCTCTGTCTCCTCCACCGTGCCATCAGAACCGCCCTCTATGGAAACTCATCTGGCGTGCTTCTGCTCCACAAAGGGTCCGCATGTTTCTATGGATTGCTCCGAATGAACGGCTGCTCACTAATGTCGAGCGTGTTCGACGACATATTTCGGTTTCACCTGCGTGCGACGTGTGCGGCGAAGATGAGTCTACTCTTCATGTGTTGAGAGATTGCCCGGCGGAAAAAGAAATCTGGCGTCTCCTGCTGCGGTCTGAACCTGAGGGAAACTTCTTCCATCTGCCACTTCATGCATGGTTTCGCTCCAATCTGTGTTTGTCGCGACTGGGATTAATTTTGCACTGGCACATCTTATTCTCTTATGCGACATGGCAGATTTGGACCTGGCGCAATGAACGGATTTTTAAACACAAGACTCTTAGCCGGGAGGCTCGACACTTGGAGGTGCTTCGCATGAAAGATACTTATGTCCGAGCTCAGGCGGATTATAGGAAGGTTGGGGTGGCCCACTATGTTACTCGTCTGATTCGGTGGCTTCCACCGGACCCGGGGTGGCTAAAGGTAAATACTGATGGGGCCTTTGATAACCGCACCGGGTTGAGCAGAGCAGGCGGGCTAATACGGGATGAAATGGAACGTTGGCAAACGGGATTCCTTATGAATATTGGCTCTTGCACCTGTTAGTGTTATTTTTGTTATATTTTTATTAATGTTTTTTATTATTATTTTTATGTATTTTTAGTAATTTTGTGGGATTTTGGGTAGTTTTTAGTTTTTTAGTGATTTGTAACATTTAATTATTTGTGTGGATTTTTGTATATTTTTCTTGTATATTTCGAGTATTTGTAAAATAAAGAAACGGTCGAAAATCTCGGAAGAGCAAGATTTTGGAAAGTTATTATGCATGATCACATTAATGGAAAGAGGAGCTCGTTAGCTACACACAAGAAAAAGCGGAACTTGATTTCGAGTTCGGATGAGTTCGTACGGGACCGAAGCGTAAAATCGAGCGAGTTGCCGACACCGTGGAAGTTAAAAATCCTTAGATAATTGTATTCTTGGTGAAATTTGTATTGGCATACATCGTTGAATAGAGGGTTTCGTTAGCGACGCGTAGAAAAAAACGAAACCCAATTCCGAGTTCGGACGAGCCCAAAACGAGCCCGAGAAGTAAAGCCGCCCGTGACGTGCGCGAATGCATGCGGAAAAATCACTTTCGGTTTTTGTCCGAAAATTCCAACTTTTCTCTCAAATTTCCTATCTTCTTTCACCTTTTTTTACATTTTTTCTTTCTTATTTTTCCCATCTTCTTTCCCAATTTTCCTATCATCTTTTTCACATTTTTCTTTTCTTATATTACAAGTTTTCTAGTTTTTTTCCTATAAATACTCTCTTCTCTTCACTTATTTCACAACTTCACTTTTCTTCTCTTTTCTATGTAAATATTTCCAAGAGTGTTCTTAGTGTTCTTGATATTCTTCAAGTTTGATCTTTGCATGCAAGCTTGGTTTTAATCTTGTAAGTTGTTTATTTTCATTTTCCTAAAAGTTCTAAGTGATATATTGACGTAAAGTTTTAATTGTAATCGTAAGTTATTGTTCGAAAGTTTTTATGAGTAAAACGATAGCTTGTATTATTCTTATTATTTGTGTCAATAAAATCATGACAAACTAAACCCTTCGTTAGGGATAGGGAAATGATTGTGTCGGTTCGATGATGATGACGAATTGTTGATTGTTCCTATTATTTCGAGTTATATTTATTTTTATGATTTACGTAGAACTAAACATTCTTTTAAATCTACTTAATCAACTTTTAACCCAAAAATGGCGAAGTTGATTGATCACGACTCGAAATAAATAAGTTTACACGTAACTGTATTGCTTATATGTTAAGTGGTACACAAATACATTGATTTATGTTTATATTCTTACTCGTAACTGAATGGAATATAAACCTCCAAATTAGTGTGTTTATCGAATAATTTAACCGAATGATTAACAATTCGAAGTTAGAATTGATACAATTATTTCCCGATTCCCTAACACTTTCCTCATCTTTATTCTTTTTACCCATTTACCATTTTTATTATTTTACTGTTGTTTATTTACTGTTAATTTCATTTTATGTTTGTTAAATTAAATTAAGAATTTTAGTTAATTATAAAACAACATCAAAATGGAGTAGAATGTTTAGGTTTATTTTCTCATTTTTGTATTTAAACAATTAAATATAAAACAAAGCTCCGAACGACCTTCCTTGAGATCGACCCGAGGTCGGGTAACTCGGTTACCAAATACCCACAAAAATTTCACGAACATCACCATCACGGGAGCCGAACTCTAGGGGCTCTTCCAGGGGCTTTTACTGGCTTGGGATTCGGGATATCGACAACTTATTGTTGAAATTGACAGCCAGTGTGTTTTGCGAATGGTGACAAATGAGGATGGCCTCTTTGGGGCTCACGAGGCTTTGGTTAAGGCAATACAAGACATCTTGAAGCGGGAGTGGACCGTGCGAGTCCAGCATGTTCATAGAGAAATGAACTGTGCTGCTGACTATCTGGCGAGCTTAGCGGCGGATTTTTCGAATGGGTTGCATCGTGTCTCTTTACCGCCTCCGGGATTAGGCGCATGGCTTGAGCATGTTAACATTAGAGTCTCATATCCCGACGAGTCCTAGCTTAGACATGTTCGAAACCTTCTTTGTACAAAAAAAAAAAAAAAAGATGTGTGTGTGTGTGTCTCAGGTTTGTTTGTTATGAAGAAGAGCAATTCTTATTCTCCAAAATATAACTTGTGAGGTGATAACTGACTTGCGCATCGGAGGTTTTCCACCGAGAATCTTCCCGGTATATTCAAGGATACGATTGACTCACGGCTTATTCCCGGTTTATTTCCTGTCCAGAGGTATTTACTCATCAACTACTAAGTTTATAAACAAACATTCTCATAAAATTTATCTCAAGAAAACAAAGCATACCATACTATCATATGAGAATGGAGGAGAAAACTAAAAAAAAAAAAAGAACCTAATAGTTAATACTTACAAACTGTCTCAAGTCATCATGTACTATTTCAAGGTCAACTTTAAACTTGAAGATTGCAGAGGGGAAATAGGAGAGCCCTCACTGCTTTGGGAGGCCTCTTGCACCTGAGCAGCAAACTGCAAATTCCATAGGACATCTTCAATCGAGGGCCGTTCAGCTGGATTCTCGTGCAAACACCTGCAGCACATCTCCATCATTGTTTTTACAGATTCAGCCGAGCATGTGTTCTTCACTGCAGAGTCCACTAAGCTCTTTCTTGATACGTCATCGACTATTGTGCTGGCTTCAAACTGCATGCATTGTGGCATCAGAACAAGTGTTGTGTTGACAGTTGTTTAGCATGTTCCTTTAATAGGATGGATGATTTTTTTTAGCAGAAAATTTAATATGTTGCATCATTTTTAAGCTCGTGTGGATGACCTGGAATTTTATTGCTTCGAGCTCGTTCCTGGAAGTTATGGGCCTGCCAGAGATGATTTCCAGTAAGATTGCTCCAAAGTCGTGTATGTCAAGCTTGTCTTGATACTTTGCCCTGTCGAGAAACACAATGTATGACTTCACATCAGAAGGACCATTATTGTCTCAAAAGGTTTAAAGTTAAGGGATGGCTGAGTTATAGGAGAATAAAAATCTTGATAGTTTGAGGTATGTTAAAAGAGAAACCCAAAGTTCGTAGTTACCAAATTTCACGGATATGACGATTTTCAAATATCTGCACTTGTAAAGGAGTTTGTTCCAACTTTAACAAGGTTTTTCTAACTCTTTTTTTTTTTTTTGGTACAGGGACCTTCCAGCTTCCGGATCCACATGGGAACCGACTAATCCGGAATCGAGCCGGGTCCGGGTAGGACCACAAGTGCGGCAAAACTCTCCCTCAAGAGTTTTAACACTGCTGCATTCCCAGGGCTCGAACACGAGACCATTGGTTAAGCTGGAAGAGACCCAAGCCATCTCATCCAAGCGCTCTTGGGTAACTCTTTTTTTTTTTTAGTCCTTAATTTGGGTTACATTTTCGTAGTTCTTATAACTAATATTGCAAAAAGATGACAGCAAAAACTAACCCTGGAGTTTTAGCTCAGCTGAGAAAAGCCTCCAGTTTATTACCAGAAGAAATACAATTTTGTTGAGTGTTTGTGATTTTGAAGTTATATCATTTCCTTTGTAGTAACCCAAAAACAATGGGCTTTCTTTTATAGTTACCACTATTTATGCCAGACCAATTAAGAAGCAAATGCACACCTTGAACCCTTCGATTCACCAACAAAATTTTGGATTTGGCCCTGTAAAGCCGAGCACATTGTGGCAGTCGATTAGTTTGTGCATTAACAAATGTTATAATCATGAACTCGAGAAACTACGCTTATTTTCCTTACTTTTCCCATGTTGTCTGTTAGCAAAGGCAGGTTGTAACTGGTTATTTTCGAAACAAGGTTCTGGTCGAGCAAAACATCGGTTATTTGAATATTATTGGCAAAAAGACCAGGCACGATCCCTGTATGAAGGAACTGTATACCCTTTGCTATCCCTGTTGCAGCTGCTATACGCTGGGCCCATGTTAGCTTCCGTCTCACACGCCACTCTGCCAAAATACAATATCAAATGTCAGCGTGTTTTTTCTTTAACTTTTTCAAAGATTTGTAGGCTTTCTCTCAGTGAGGGTAACACATGCATGAAGATTATCTTAAAGTGTAGACAAATATGAATGATATCACACAAATATGAGAAATGCAGCAAGAACTACCCGATATCCAGCTTCTTAGAGTTCCATTCGGGACATATTCGAAGACAAGAAAAACCCTGCTCACGCTTGAATCATCCAAGTAATACTCAAAGCAATGTCCAAGAGCACTCACCAAATGGTGATGTCTGAGTTTGGATATCATCTCTACATGAGGCATGAAATATTGAGTGTTTTGATTTCTTTTCAGGTTAATGCACCTAATCGCAACATGGGACCCATCCCTCAATCGACCTTTGTACATCTGATGTCCAGTCAGAGGCAAACTCATCAGCGCTAACAAAAAGAGAAAAATATAAAGAAAGAGCCGGAACTGTAAATGTTACGGTTTCAGGTGCATTAACAAATAGCAAGTTCCATGCACTAGAATTAATGAATTATTGGTGAGGGAGACTGTTGAATTGGTTAAAAGAGTACATTTGGTGAATAAGAAGAACAAGTGTTGTTGTTATTTTTACTGCATCTTTATTGTGCTGTCTCGAGATAGTTTGAGTTCACTTTAGAAACTTTTCATTGCTTGAGGTTGAACATCACTTGTTTTTTTGCGGTAATTTTTGTATTTTGGCCATATTTTGTCTATTTTTATTTTGTCGTAAAATGCAGTTTGGATAATTATGAACCAAGACAAACCAAACCATATTTTATGAGTAATCAAAGCCAAAATGTCAAGAGCATAAGCCAAGTAGGCCAATTGTCGAACCACTTTGTACCATGCAACCACCCAGCTGACTCTTTGCCTGCATGTCCATGTTGACCCTGCAGTGTTTTGTTTCTCTATTTTTCTTTTGATTTGTGCTTGGATTTCAGAGCAGAGAAAATCTTGCGGGCTCCTTTGTTAGTGAGTTTCCATTTTCTATATCTTATTGTCCGTTAAATGTTGGATTTTTTTTTTTCTTTTCTTATTTAATTGACATTGAATCCAACCTAAGTTTTACACTTGAGGTTGACTGAATCTTGCTATTGACCATGTGTTGATAATGTGATTAAGCAAACTTATTTGAAATTCTTCTCATAAAACATACCTCTTTGATCAATTTTTTTTTCTTCCTTAGATAGTAGGTAGCATTGAGACCTATCAAATATAGTATAATAACTCGAACACGATGGACTTGAATATTGATTGTATGATATATTGGTTAATTGAGTGAGTGATCGAGATCGAATCTCTTTGCTAGTTGATAGGATTGTTCTTATGGTTGGGTAGTCACTTGATTCGCATGTGTTCATTTGCTTGACGATATTTATAAAGAAGCTATCGTCGTTCTATTTCTCTAATTTTATTTTTTTTTCTTGTGGTTGATTTATTCCGGTGCTTTCTTATTAATCGTTTTTATTTTTGTTATTGTGATTAGAGTATTGAAGACTTACTTTTTCTTTTGGTGTTTAATTAACATTGATTCTCAATCCAGAATAAACCTCAATGAGAGAGACGACCCGAGGTAGGCACTCGCCAATACTCGGTTAAAACTACACAACAAGAAATCGAAACAAAAGGCAGAAATCTAACATTTGAAAAACATTAAATGCAGATCAGATTGCATCACTGCATGCTTAGAGGACAACACAACTTTTCTACTTAGTGGCTCGAATATGTAGATAAAGTACCTAACCATAAGAACAGATGTAGAAGTACCTGACGATTAGAACCATCTCCTATGGAAGCGGATGTATTAAAATTATTAGTTGCCTCCTTAAGCTCTTCAACTGAAAACGTCCTATAAGCTGGAAGCCCAAGCGCTCCTAGCTTCATTGCTCGAGTTATATATCCTATGAACATCACCCAATTGGATCAAAGAAAAAACATAAA